TTGTCACGTCTTCCTGTTGAATTATTAGCTAGTTGGCTTGTGCCTAACCTCTTCGACAGCTTGTTAACCTCCGCAATATCTTTGATGTGTTTGGGGAGTTCGTCCCCAAATAAGAATTTACCCAACGGGTTATTCTGACCACACACTGAACGATAGCTTGAATTTATGACATCCTTCAGTGTTTCTCTTCTAGTCATAGAAGTTTTGTAACTTGCGTGACACAAAAAGGTCACGCCATCTGCTAATTTCGACACCAAAGTGCTTGGATCAARTTTACTCTTGTTCTTTTGGGCTGTCAAGCACTCCTCCAGCAGAGACAGCATTGGCTGGGTAGCCTTAATTATACCTCTCTGAACCTCTTGTAAAGCCAAATCCTTGGTCTTAGAAACTCTCGACAAATCATGCCATAATTCTGGGTTGACCTTAGGTACGCACAGGTTTGTACAGTTCTCTGGAGTGTGATATTTCGCCTCCAGTTCCTTCATTTTGGATTCAATAACTTTCTTTGTACAACCATCATTCACTCGTGAAGCTAGTTTTTCAGAAATTTTCGGACCGCTAGCTTCCGAGACGTCGAATACCGACGGAAACACGCTTTCCTCGTGCTCTGTCCCAGCCTCGACTGATTCAGTCGGGTCAAACTCTGAAGAGCTCGCACGTGGTTCGGAAGCTTCTTCCGACCGCGTTTTTTTCGCCACGTTCTGCTCGAGAACTTCGTTTCCTTTYCGCTTTCCCACCACTTCATGGAAAAGAGCCTTTATCTCTTCAACTGAGGATACTATCGAAGGGATACCCAATTCGTCTCTTAGCTCGTCGATGTCAATTTCCACAGGCTTTTCTTGAGTCGACTCTTCGTTGCTCGCTTCGAGCGAAGAGTTATTATTTACTTCATTATGAATGACAATTTCATCCCCCGACAAAGTCCTAGTAGTCATAACGTCAAGAGGAGTGAATACCTCCGCTTTTTGACAATTTTTTCAACCAACAGTAGTGAACCGCTGCTGCACTAAAGGAAGAATGGTTTGTGGTTCTTTGCCGAGCCTGTTTATATTGATCTCATTTGCATAACAATGTTATGCTTTGAAGTGTGACCGCTGACCTTAGCATTACAAAGGAATGCATATTTAGCCCATAATGCGTAGTGCATTGAAAGAGAATC